AAGAAATGTTTCGGTCCATTAAGTCGTATACATTTCTTACCGTTACCACAGTTGGACCTCGTCAGTTGGACCTCGTCACTTGTATGCTGCTACAATCAGCTTAGCTCAATTTTTTGTTCAGATCGGTTTTGGCACGGAAGAAGGTGGCATCGGTTTTCTGGATACCCGGCAAAGCAGCTACATTTTGAATACAATTGCTATGCCATTTCCAGTTGGAACTATTTGGGAGGTAATTTGCTTGTAATATTTTTTTACTGCACGATTACAATGGCCATTGCATGTAGCTACAAAACGGATATCGGCTTTCAAAAGAGACGTGCTGGAAGTTAGTTGTACACCAAATTTCGGGGGTTGGAGGGGGAGGGAGGAGGAGGAAGTACATGTATTTTGAGGTTTTATTGCTGTAATTGCGTATTTTGAGTTTCATTCCTGACCGCAGCTTATACTGTCTGTGTTTACAGCTCAGGCCTTACTGATACGGCGTCGACTGAGGAGAGTGAGACTCGCGGGAGGGGATTTTCTTCAGTTTTAGCAATGCTACGTGTGCCCGCTGGGGGCCTTTCCCCGCCCCTGGGTCCGCCATTGACACAGAAATGATATTGGTACATTTAGCACTGACAGCTTCTTCACATGTATTAGTTTCGATTGTGTTTACGGCATTCAGACCGTACTTGAGTAATTGGCACAGCAGTAATATCGATTTTTTACTTGCATTGCTTTTGATTTTCCACTTTTTTTTTATCCCTTATTCATTTTTTGATTACTTTTTGGGTGTCTTATTTTACAAAATAAAATTGTGAAAAATAGTGATTATGGAAAATAAACTGTGAAAAATTGTTTGAAAATTGAAAATTAATTAAATTAAATTAGATTGGAAATTAAATTAAAATTGAAATTGAAAACTAAAAATTATAAAAAAAAATTGAAAGATTGTGAAAAAATAAATCGTGAAAAATTGTTAAATTGAAAATTAATTAAGCTAAATTAAATTGAAAACCAAATTAAGTCAAACTGAAGCTGAAAATTAGAAATTATAAAAAAATTGAAAAATTGTGAAAAATAAATTCTGAAAAAATAGTGAGCCATACGGAA